CTGGATTCAGAGGGCGAAGAAAATCGCCTGTGGTTCATCCCCTCGAAGTCTGTTTGCGACAGGCATCCCCTCTTAAAGCCATGACATTCTGGCATTGCTTGGGTCGTTGGCCTTTTGCGTTTGCCAAACCTCGTGGCGGGGCTGATACGAAGCCTGCCACCATCTTCCGTTTGCTGGGCTGGATCGTCCACTAGCCGGCTGGTTTTCCTTGAGGCTGCGACTGACAACACCGACTCGAGGCATTTGGCTCCTGTCTTTGCTTTACCACGGTTCCCGTGACAGGGCAGCGCCATCCTTTGGACGTGTTCCACCGAAGCAATGGAAGGTTTTTCCCCCCCCCCCCCCGAGCTATCAGGGTGTCTTTGACCTTTGAGGCACTTTGAATGTCCCAGCCGGTGGTTTTTCTTTGGTGGACAGGACTAATGACTTGGCATGGTGTGATCACACTGCCAGACACCATCCAAACGCATATGAAGCTGACTCATCTTTCGGCAGCTATGCGTTTCAGGATCAACTTCATGGAAACTAGCCTTTTCCACGTGTTGTGCATACTAGGATGTATTTGTTCACGATATTTTCGCTGGATTAGGGCACGTTGCTGTAATTGTCCTCGTTTAAGAAGGCAATTTGTCAATCGAAGTGTCTTTGATTCTGTTTACCTCTTTCTCAAAAGTTATGCCAGCGGTTTCACAGGTGGGGGGGTTGATTGCACTCTTGATGGTTGTTGGATGATGAAGGACTTTGTGCCCCCTTTGGCAGCGGACATTTCAGTAGAGATGTTGGAGATGGCCTTTACTCTTGTTGGATTTGTGCTTGAGACATGATTGACTGCAAAAATGTTCGAATACTCAATGCGGCCGCCGTTTGAAGCATTGCGATGTCGGCTTGTTCATGGGCAGGCTTGCTTGCAGTAAATTCCTAAAGTCAATGGGTTGCCATGCGCCTGTCACGACGACGGTTCATCCGTTATTGATTTCCTGCGCTGGTGGGCGGGTAGCGCAGCTGCCAAATCCGGGGCACGACTCATGTCATGCGCGTGGGATAGCAGGATCGTCATGACATTTTTCAACAGTTTGTGTTTGCCATTGATTGTTCCATTGGTACGCCATTCCTGATGTCAATGTGTGGATTAAGAGAAGCAACTTCGGCCACTTCGGCCATGGTCCAGGGCAACAGTTCCTTTGCTTATGCGTGTGAGCATAGACTCTCAGTTGCAATTTGAGCAGCAGACTTATTCCATGATGCCGTCCAGGACATGCCGCATCGCAAGGCATGTGTGTGGGGCTGTAAGGTGCAATTTAGTTGCTCTACTGTTCAGGTTTTCAGGGCACTGACTGTCCTGGGTTTGGGCGAGTTTGCGCTTGTCAGAGGTTTCTACTGGTTTCTACAATACCTGAATGAAGGAAGTTTGAAACATGTTGTTTGGGTCCAACTGAGCTCCCGTGTGTTTCATTCCTTCATTTCTACCCACGTCGTTGTTGTAGATGTCCGACGCGGCGGAGTCGGCACGGATGCCGTTTGGTATCTTGGCAACGGATGAGGTACTTGCCTGCAGTTCAAGCTTGCTGTACGAGCTTGATTTGCAACTGCTCGCCATCCAAGAATTTCTTGGTTCCAGCAAAGACAGTTCGACTGGGTCAGCATTTTCTTGCGTTTGCCTCCACGCAGTTCAATGAGGTGTTCTGCCCAAGGATCATGAGATATGATCTGCTACGAATGATGAGTTTTGTTGTACTCGGTGCAACTTGCACAATGATTATGGGCAGAGTTGCAGTGAGTCACACGACTCGTGAGTTGAATGCCCAGCATTCATGTCAATGAGCTCGAATTGCTTTAATCCGGCTCTTGTCAGTTGGTTGGCTTTTTCCAACCCTGTCAGAAGCTGAGAGGACAGATCGCAGCTTTGATCGGGTCCGGGAAAGTTTGGCCGCGGGCCGTAGGACGCTAAGACATCTATACCCTCGATGGGCCATCTCCTTGTCTTCCCCAGGGCTCCATTTGAAAGATTCATTTTGCTTAACCATTTGAAACATGTTGCTTTTTCAACACCAAAATCAAGCTGGAAGCCATTTACAAGTGGCAATGTTCCGGTGTATAATGTAGGGATTTTTGTTCCCGTTCCATTTTGTCTTTGCGGGGCGGGGGGGGGGGGAGGAACTCCCAGTGGGGAGGTGTTGCAGCAATCACAGTACTTCCCCCCCCCCCACAAATTCAACCCCAAGCCCCGCTAATATGGGATGGACTTGTTTGAACAACTGTCTCACCCAAATGTCTTCTCGACAGAGTAAGGATAGGCCAAACAAGGAAGAGCAGAGGGGCTAGGTAAGTATCAAAGTTCGCTTTCATGTTCCAGACTAAGCATCTAAACAAAAAGCCTAAATTAATCCATGGCACATTGACTGTTTGCAGGATTCGACGAAGGTCCAAAATTATGCTCTACTGCCAAGATGGCACTAATTGTCTGGCACTATTGTCCATCTACTTGCGATACGTGGCTTTCAAGCCAGATAACTCAGCGCCCCGCATTTCGAGTGCATGTGAGTCTCAACGTCGGACTCTTTGCCGTTGGAAAGATTTGTCCCATGGCTGCGGCCCTTCCCAGTCCCCTCAGGCTGTGCGTTCCCTTCGGCATCCATCGCGCACGCGCTCGCCGATTCGGCGTTCAGGTCTTCGGGCCATTGCACAGCACGCAAGGAGTGGGAACCAAGTTGGCCAGGCTTGCCACGGAAGAAGCGACAGCCAACATGAGCAGAAACTTAGCAGAAACTTAGCGAACTGACGCATGTGTGAATTTGAGAAGTGCTTGTGACACAAATCACCAAGCCCTTTGTTCAGCGAGCCAATTTCGATTGACTTCTCAGGCTGCATCTTTCAATGGAAAGTGCTTGATGGTACATTGGGCATGTTGGAAGATGCACGCAAAACAAGAAGCTTGCCAAGGTTGCACAATGACATTTGGACATGGCCCTGGAATTTGAAACGCGATGAAATGTTGGAGGCTCGCACGTGCACACGACTCGAGTTTTGCAATGTAACCTTCATGTTGGTCTTTTAACATATTGCACAATACTTTGAGTAGCTCTAGCTGACATTCTTCAGACATCATGTTCAGAACAAGTGGGTATGAGTAAGTGCACCACTTCAGGAAAAGCGCATGTTTTGCTGCTTCACGTGGCAGCAAACCTGTTGTTTTGCAAGCCTGGCCTTTCTGCACCTGACCTCCATGCCGGGGTCTCTGCACGCCCAGCCCAGTGCTTCGCGAAAAGACCGGATGATCTTTTGTGCGTGGAGATGTCGGGTCCCGCATGCGTTCCGCCCGGCGGTGGCCCTTGGCTGAGCTCAGCCTGCTTGCAACAGTCCTGAGATCGTTTGTTCTGAGACTTGCAGAGATTGGATGGCCGTGGGTCAACAAGTCAACACCAATGGTACCATGTTGGGGTAGGTGCACCACCCATTTTAGAACCTATTTTTGTGGGGATTGGGATGTTCACGCGGGGTACGGGGTTTTGACCCATAGCCAGGTGCCTTGCACAACTCTCCGTGGTTTATCTCATTTATAGAGCGTTGACGCCCCAGGGGACGCCTTCAGAACGGCGCAGGGCCAGAGTGCCCTTTTTGTGATATCCGTTTTGCAGTAGTTCGATCGACAGATCAGGCGCAGTTTCCAGTTGTGCCCTGCAAACCAACGTGTCCAAACTGCGGAGTGAAAAAGACACCCATGCGGCGTGCGAGGGCAACTTTCCCATATTCTGAACCCAAGGATGTGACTCTTAGAGAACCACCCAGGAAAATATCCAACTCTTTAAGAACGATTAGAACGAGTTGGGAGTGTACCAAAGTGAGTTCAACCTAATGTAGAGTCGGGGTCAGGGATTGCCAAGTTGCCACTGAAAGTGGGGAACCAGCTTCTTTTCAGTGCCCTCGATTCATTTTTCGGGTGCTATGATCCATGTTGAAAATAAGGCCACTTAATCCTAAATCAAAGAGGTCACTTAGCCATTTAATGGGCACTTAGACCCTCAGGGTTGCCCTCCCCAGCAGCGGGCAAATCGAGCCGCAGCGACACGTGAATGCGAGTGACACTCACACGACTCACAAGTGCGGGGACCGACGCTGGGCAAATCGAGCCGCAGCGACGCGAATGACACTCACGCAGGGGAACCCGACACTAGCATAAGCGACCTTTTCAAGGGGGTAAGTGGCCTCGATTCGCACCCTCGCTGACACTCAAATGACACGCTCTGAAACTCAAAACACTAGTCCGGGCCATTCCGGGTCCCCAATGAAATGTGGCAGTTGTCACACTTCAACACGGGTAGCAGTTTGATTTCAACAGGATCTCAACCCCTATCAATCCAAAAAGGGCACTTGGCAAACAAATCAAAGGGTCGCTTAGGGCACCGACACGGCCTTCAGTGCCCTCGATTCAAAAACATCAAGTGCGGGCACTAAAAATACGCTGGAATTTTGGAAAACATTGGACACCGTTGGGATGCGACAGGAGTTCTTGGCCGCAGGTATAGTAAGTCACCAGCTATCTCAGCGACTCGGGAGCAGTGGGTATTTCCGCGGATTTTTTCCCAAGCCCTTTCGCGAGTTGCGCAAGTTTGAGCGAGCCACCGCAAATTACCAAAGTCTTCACCGGCGATGCGTGCCAAGCCATTGATTCTTGGCGCTGGTATATTTATATATATATATATATATATGTATGGCCCTGATAGGCGCAGGATGTGTCTCACAGGTACTGAGCGACGGCTTCAGGGTGAACATGTGCGCGCTTCCCAGGATTTGTCACTCCAGAAGAACATCGAACAGCAGTTAATATGGCTCCTAATATGTATATATATATATATATATCTATCTATTAATTATATATATATGTCCGAAGAAGACAAATTGCACCCTAGGGGAGTGCTTTGTGTGGTGGTAGCTTGTTGGTTTTTGGCTTCAGTTCGCGAAGGGTATAGTTGAACCAGTGAGGAGAGTCTTGGCTGACATTCGCCGATTCAAACCGCCCAGTGAGATCGCTTGCCTGCAATGGACGTCCAAGCCTATGTGGAGAGAGTGCGATCTTTCCAGAAGGCAGCAATTAGGGCAGGGTTGCTGAAGACGGGGATTTTCCATGGTGATTGTTCCTCAGACTTCCTGTTTGCCGGCAGAGGGCTAGAACATGTGTTACTTCCCGAGCAGCGCTTTCCTGGCGGTCTGCTGGTGCATGTTCTTGGCAAGACTGAAACACAGTTGCTTGCGCAACTTGCAAGCAACACAACTTATTGAAGTGATGAAATGATCGATCAGGTGGCAAACTGCGAGGTCAGGTGTACTCAATTGGACTATTCGCATGTCAGGAGAGTCTTTTCCAGCTTGTAGTCACAAAGTAGGACGTTGGGCATCGCTGGTTGACGAGATTTGACACATCTTCATATCGCGACATGTGTGACTTGATGGGCCATTGAGTGGGAGCAGCATTGCTCCCTGAAAAAAGAATGGTTTGGCAGTCGCGCGTGCTTCAGTAAACTGCGTACATCAGTTCAAGTCGAGTGTCCGAATTGGGGCCTTTGTTTCGACCAGCTGTCATTTGCAAAGGAACCGGCATGCACACGACGTTCTTTCTTTTCCCAGCTGCATCCGCTTCGCCAACCTGCGCTGGACATACTCTACAATGATTTCCCTTGCCAATCACTGGGGTTCCACAGACCGCAACCGACACCCCGTTGAGTCTCTCAAGAGGCAGCCCCTGGCTGGACCATTTTGGAAACTGTTTTTTGGGACCACCTCATTTCCAACCTCCAGGCTCTGGTTGATTTCTTCCTTTGGCTAGATGGGCGGGCTGTCGGAAATCGCCCCAGTCGACCCCTCGCTTTCCCATGGCCAGTCCAGCGAAGAGTGCCGGAAGATCTGGAACCACTACTGCGACACCGAAGCGGGCCCAAAGATGCGAGATCCGAAGCGTCACTCGATTTGCAGCCTGGTCGTGCACCTTTTTGCGGTGGGCAGGGCAAACTCGTCTATTTTAGGCATCTCCCAAAAGTCCTTCAGTGTGATTCCTCAAATCAAAGGCCTGACACATGTTGGATCCCACAATGTCTATTTCCCTTATGTTTTGTCAGAGCCAGCCCCGATCTACTTGCAGGTTTGAGACAATTTATATATAGGTGCTTTGACGTGGCCCTTGCGTTTTCCAATTTCTGACGACGGTACAACAAATGACTCCTTAAACCAACGCGATCTAGGCCTGCAATCGATTTGCTGGACAAGAAGGGACAGGCAAAAAGAGCCAGCGTCATTGGCATTGTGTGTCAGTATGTGATAGCATATGTGTGTGTGTGTGTTCAATGCAGTATCGGGTGACATCGCGTGTTGCGAGTTGACCAAGCTCTGACAGAGAACTTGGTTGGTTTATGTTTTGCCTACGAAGAAGAGCCGTTTGCTTCGTCATCCCATTGCTTTCAGGCCCCAACCTGTCTCCTCTTTAGGTTGCGCGATCGTGCGCAAGAGATCTGGTCGGTGGCAGTGGACCAGAGAAGTCAAGCACAACTGGCAGTGGCTGGTCGGGTGACTTTCCTCGCCAAGAGACAGCTTCCTTCCTTCGGATCCCTTTTGTGATGGCAATTCGGAGTGCTCGGGTGCTGTTTCGGACAACGATTTGTGTCTTCCTTCACCGCGTCTTTATGTCCATGTTCCAACACTTGTTCCAATGATCTGGTTCCAATGTGTGGGCTTATTGATGGTGCCCGTATCAAGGCAACGGCGCAAGAGGACGACTTTCTGTTGACCCTCACCACACCTCAGTCAGGCAGGTCAGGGTACTGTTAACTGGTGGATTGGCGGTTGTGGGGGGGGGGGTGAACCTGAGGTTTTTGTGGAGGGTAAGTTGAAAACCAAGAAGCAGGCGTGCAAACCCAACCGCCAAACCACCAATCCTTGGGAGTCAGTGCTGCTGGCACGTGCGCGCGGGCATGGTGACTTAGGCCACCCCTTGGAGTTCCTGCAGACCTTCTTCGAGCGCGAGGCCGCTGGCGAGTTGGACGACGATTTGGAGGTGACGTGGGAGCCGTGGGAGCCGTGGGAGCCGTGGAAGCCGTGGGAGCCGTGTATTGTTGAAAAGTGCCGGGGGTTGGACCAAATGGTTGGGCCAAAAGGTTGGGCCTCAGCATGTGCGCAAAAGGTTGGGTCAACTCAAGGGGAAAGGCAAAGCAAAGTCCCATTGCCCCCAGCTTCTGACGGACTCTGAAAAAGTATGGGGGAGCTGCTGCCAAGAGCATGATGCATTTGCTACGTATCCGTATGTGTTGCCTGCTGATCGTGATATGGAAGGCAAACTGGACCTGTGCATTGTGCAAGTACTCGGTAGGCCTCGGTGGCCAGCGAAAGCGACCACGAGGGTCAGGATTGCTCTCGGTGCCTCACATGCTGATTCTTCACAGGCACATCTACAATTCCTGCTTGGCACCGCAACACACAATGTCAGTGGCAGGAACTCTCTCCTTGGATAGTTTCGCACCAGATCATTCAAATCCAGCACCGATTTATGTAGATGGTTCTCGTGTTCCACGCAGTCGCCCTCAAAGCCCACACCGCCCCGCGCATTGCCTGGGGCCTGGGGCTCATTGCCTCGGGCACGTCACGTCGGGTCTGGGAGCGGCTTTGGCACGGACCACGTCGGAGCGCAGGACACGGACGTTAAGAAGCAGAAGCTCAGCGTCGCACTACCGGAGGTGTCGCAGCAGGAGGTTCAGGATGCGCAGCGCAGGGCCCTTTGGCAGATGTATGATAGGCATCCCTTCGGTTCGCCCATGTTGGTTTCAACCGTTGATGGAGTTTCCTCGAGCGGAGATATCATGTGTCGGAT